TAATTGGTTCCGTTGAAATCGCTGTTAAGCGAAATCCTCGTCAAGCAAAACGAAAAAGCCCATTGAAAGGCATTGAAACCGGTTCAATGCGTTCCAATGGGCTAAATACCTCAGCGTCCAGCGAAGATCCTCCATAGAGGCGGCCATTTTCCGGTGCCTGTAAAGCGAGGAATCTGTCCTAAAACACAGTGGCGGGAGTTCGATTCCCCCACGAGGCCTCCTTGACGGGGGCTGGACTAGGATGATCCGTACGGTCCCTTCCAGTTCTAAGGTTATTATTTTTTGATGATGATTATATAAAGCCAAGTCGCTACTAGTTAAGAGTAACTTGGTGTGCATGCAACATATACACAAAGCCATACAGTCGTGTGCAACCTGGACTCCCCAAAGTCTTCCGTTGGGACAATGGGCTGCTGTTGGCATCATTGTTGTGTATGTCGAGCTACACAACCCTATTTCAGCCCTTGTGACTCTGATGTATTTGCAGGACAATGCAACACTCAAGTGCTACCTTCGTTTCCCTCCTCAGTCCCAAAGACAGAGACTAAATTGGCGTGGAGGGATACTTTATCCTTAATGGAGGAGTGGCCATTCCCCATGGGGGGAGAGCATTGTCATCCCCAGCCACTGCAGCCTCGCCATCCAATTTTATGCCATTGTCACATTTTGGCTACTCTGAAGACGTTTCTCTTGCCCTTCCTCCTGGGAGCCCTGGGACTGCGCAGCTTCCTCAAAGTCACACAGGTTGGCTTCCCTCCAGGCAGGCCTTGCGGGAGACTCTGGCTCTGCAACTACAGTGGTGCCTCACTCGATGAGGATAATTGGTTCCGTTGAAATCGCTGTTAAGCGAAATCCTCGTCAAGCAAAACGAAAAAGCCCATTGAAAGGCATTGAAACCGGTTCAATGCGTTCCAATGGGCTAAATACCTCAGCGTCCAGCGAAGATCCTCCATAGAGGCGGCCATTTTCCGGTGCCTGTAAAGCGAAAAATCCGCCCTAAACACAGCGGGGAGCCATTTTGAACAGCGGGTGGCCATTTTGAAAACCCGACGATCAGCTCTTTTGATCGTCGTAAAGTGAAAAATCGGTTCCCAAAGCAGGGAACCAATCATCGTCAAGCAGATTTTCCCTATTTAAACATTGTTTTGCAATCGCAAAAACCTCATCGTTAAGCGATTTTGTCGTGGAGCGTGGTAATCGTTAAGCGGGGCACCACTGTATTTATGCTGTACTAATGCCCCTTAGAACTGAACTAGATAACTCTGCTCAAACCCCAGTTGAGCTGGTGATTATATTCTGAACTGGCCCAAGAATCTTCTTCCATTAGGTGTAACCTTAATGTTCTGAATAGACCTGCATGTTTTTGGCAGACTGGTTCATGTGTGCATTCTATGTTTCTGAGTCAGAACCAACTTATAGACTAATAGGGCTTACAAGGTATGTGAGATAGTTAAGGAATGGTTTTACTAGTTCTGAGAGTCCAGGAAGTTTCCATTGCCAAGTGGGGATTTGAACCCAGGTCTCCTGAGTATTCTTGTACAGTACTCTTTTCCATCTGCCTCTACTTTCTTATGATCATTGTTATATTTAGATTTATGTATCATAGATGTTGCTGTACTACACCTAGTAATTTTTTTGGAGTTTATATAAGCTCACCCTTTGCTTTGTTGAAATTTTGTTTGCAAAAAACAGCCCAAGACCTTCTTTGCTCATATTGATTTTTTGAAGTGTTTAAAATGGATCTCTCTCTCTCTCTCTCTCTCTCTCTCTCTCTCTCTCTCTCTCTCTCATTAGATTGTGATATCCTTGGTAACGTTTAACGAGGTAATTGTTAAGCGAGGCACCACTGTAGGTACCCATATAGACACTAAAAAATGAGACACCAGCACTTTCAGGCTTACAATCAGGTGTGTGTGTGTGTGTGTGTGTTTGTGTGTGTGTGCACGCGCGTGTGTGTGCATGCATGTGTGCATTCAAGGTATGTGAGATATTTAAGGAATGGTTTTACTAGTTCTGAGAGGGATGTGGTGGCGCTGCAGGTTAAACTGCAGAAGCCTCTGGGCGGCAAGGTCGGAAGACCAGCAGTCGTAAGATCGAATCCACGCAGTGGAGTGAGCTCCCGTCGCTTGCCCCAGGTCCTGCCAACCTAGCCGTTGGAAAGCATGTAAAATTGTAGATAAATAGGTACCACCTCGGTGGGAAGGTCACGGCATTCTGTGTCTAGTTGCGCTGCCCATGTGACTGTGGAAACTGTCTTTGGACAAACGTTGGCTTGGAGACAGCTTGGAGACAAGGATGAGCACCATGCCCTAGAGTTGGACACGACTGGAATAAATGTCAAGGGGAACCTTTACTAGTTCCACTCCCCCAGTGAGTTTCCTTGGCCAAGCAGGGATTCGAACCCTGGTCTCCAGAGTATTAGTCTGTCCCTCTATTCATGACACCACAGAAAGCAATCAGGAGGGAAGAATGAGGAGAGGTGAAGCAAGAATAAATAAAACCCACTTAAGTACCAAACAGTTTCCTATTTGTTCAGTTAAAATGGCCACTGAGGTCTTGGGGGGGGGTCTTTTTAAGGAGGACCAGCCACCCATCCATTGATGCCTTAAAATGTTCTCAAAAGCTCTCCTAAACCAGGATCTCATGGCAGGACTTCAGGCGTTACTCAGCAGCCCAGTTAAAAGTAGAAAATGTTTTCCTGAGACAGAACATACAGATCCACCACTTTAGGAAGAAAAAAAAAGCTGCTGTTTTCTCATCCGGAAAATGTCATCTGGTCTGATTCATGCTTGCATACAAAAGCAGATTCATGTGTGCATTTGAGGCGGGCGTGTTGAAAGCCAAGTTTCTTGTAGACTTTCAAAATTCAAAGGCAAAAGGTGTGGGTTTTGATATGTCAGGGAATTTAAACCCTTGTTAAGGTTCTGTTGACCTTTCCGATGTTTTCGGACTGCAGCTTCTAGAGCACCTCGCTATTGACTGTCCTCCTGCAGAGGGGTGTTGAAGGGCAGCAGAGATATGGAAGACTAGGGCCACCCCACCTTTGCATGAAGGTGACTTTAGTTCCTCACGAGCTCTCAACCATCCCGCCGGTGGCGAGAGATGAAGTGCGTGCTGTTCGTGATCCTCTGTTCTTGCTCAGCCAGCAGATTCCGTAAAATGGATTCATAACCTCAGTGGGTGAGCGAGCGGACAAGTAAGATATGGCATAACTATGATGAGAACTCCAGGTGAACTCAACCCATCAGACATGCAACACACAAATGCACCTTGCACAGATTCTTTGCAGTATGTATGCAATGTGACTTTTAGGTCATCTGCTTGGTTTCATCTCCACCTGCAAGAGTGGGTCAGGAACATTAGCACACCTTGCAGTACAGTATTTCACAGGGAACTTAAGGTAGCGGGAAGGTTTCAGGTTTCCTTTAAAGGAAGCATTGCATGTTGACTTGTGTGCAAGCTTCATATTTTCCTCTCTTGCTTCTCCTTGCAAGCTATATACTTAAGTCACATTGCATTTCAGGCAGGCAATGGCTTTACTGCAACCACTGAAATAGCCACTGTTTGTCTTTTGACATGGATAAGTATTAAAGTAGGAGACACATAAGGTTGTGTTTCTGAAAATCCATATATGTTCTCTTTTCAGCCTAAGCTCCCTCAGTCTATCTTGTTTCTGCAAAAAGGAATTCATGGGTTGGCAGAGATGGTGGCTCAATTTGCCTTCATTTCCAACAAGGAGAAATAGCTATTTGTTGTTCTTTCAGGCTATAGACCACTCCACGGTGCCAGACCACTCTCTGGGCAGTTTACAACATAAATATGCAAGCAACACTTTGCCCCACAATCATCTGGGTACTCGTTTTATCAACCTCGGAAGCAGCCAACCCTTAGCCAACTTCTTGAACCCATAAGGATCTCAGGTTGTAAGCAGAAGCTTGACCGTAGGACTGCAGTTTAACCCCTGTGCCATGTACCCCTTGAAAAAGTCATTTCTAGTTGAAGGGCAAAGTAAAGTTATAAAACACACTTGAAAGGTAGAGAAACCACTTTATCTGATTCTTTTTTTTTGCTAGAAATTGAGATATATAAAACTGGTTTTCCCCAGTATTTCCAAAGCTCAGGAACAAGTGGTGACTTCTTTATGGCTAAAATGCTACCTCCCACTCAAAAGAGGGAGGAATCAGCAAATGTGGAGGGAACCCCATTCCCCAACTATTTATGAAGTGCAAAATTTTTAAGGGGGGGGGAAGAGAAAGTGAAAGCAAAACACCCACCAGGGGCTTGACACTGCTCAATGGGCACAAAAGGGTGACTTTGAACCTAAAAAATTGAGTGAGTGGGCAATGGAGTATGGAGGTGTTCACACCTACCTGTAGCTAACGGAAGCACTGAATGAGAACATGCAAAAGTGATACATTTCACTGCAATCCCACTCACTTGCTCTATCAAATAGCGAATTATGATCAACGTTGTCATGGCAACCCTATGAAAGAGTGATCTCCAGGGTGTTTGGTCTCAACTGCCCTGCTCAGCTCTTGCAAGCTCAAGGCTTCTTCTGAGGTGTTGGTCCATCTCGTGGTTGGTCTCCCTCTTTTTCTTGCTGCCTTCCACCTTTCCCGGCGTCATTGTCTTTTCCAGAGAATCCTGTCTTCTCGTAAGTTGCCCAAAGGAGGGCAGCCTCAGTTTCAACATTTTTGCTTCTAGTGTGTGTTCGGGCTTGATTTGATCTAGGACCCACTCGTCTTTATGCAAACCAAGCAACCAACCCAAGGATAAGAAGAGATGCAGAGTCACTCTGCAAAACGGCATGGAAATCCAAACGTCCTACAGTTCAGTTGAGTAAAAAAAAAAAGTCTGACGGGTGACTTCTTGAAGGCTAAGGGTTGTATCATTCAAGGTGAGGTCATCAGATCGGCTGCTAGCGAAACTGAACATTCTCTACAACCATTGTTTAAAGCTTCTGTTTGCAGTCAAAAACAAGAGATTTTCAGAAGGCTATGTCCCAGTATAAAGTATTTATTTCATACTCAACAATTAAACACAAATTTTAATTATTTTTTACAGTAAATAAAAATGTATTATCCCCTCTCATGCATCATCACTGTATTAATCTAAGCCTTTTATTTTAAAATGTGAAAAAATAAAGTGTTTCCCCCATTTCATCTTTCACCCAGATGCCTCACATCTGGGATTGTGCATTAATGGAGACAAGGTGTAGAATCAGATTAAGCCTAGCGGTGTGGGTTTGCGGTTTGCTTGTCTTTTTTTTTAAAAAAATGCTTTACATAAAGTGTTACGATGAAATCAATAAATCATCCCATAAAAATAAATATCAAACGAGAAAGAAACAAAGAGATCTGCAGCATTCCCATCTTCCAAGGATTGCCCTGGTTGAAATATTTTGCATGCTGTGTTTTGTCCACCAAAAGCTCGTAGTTCAGGGCTGAGTAGTAACAAGATTGCTGAATGGTCGCGGGTAATAAAGAGAGGCATTTTAGTCACAGTACATAAAAATACAGCATTTTTTTCTGGACTAAGTGGCATTCTACTTGGTCTAAGCTTTCAGTGTTTCAGGGGATCCACTGGTATTAACTTATTTTACAGCGCAGCAAGGCTATAATCAGGATACGGCACAGCCCCCCGTTCTCCTGTATCTGCTAAGGGTTATCATTTTCTACAACAGAAAATAATTCATTTGGTATTACTTCGCATGGGTTTTCAATTCATATTAGATTTTCTTTGGCTCATCTCAAAACACTTTTGGCACGGAGTCTGTGAATCATCTTCTCAAGTCGTTACAGCCCTTGCCTTCCAAGAGAACCCCTTTGTGAAAATCAAGCGCTTCAATTCCTTAGTTCTGCTGAAGTTTTTTTTTAAAAAGGGGGGGACTTTAAAATATAAAGCAACCAGTGTGTGTTTGGGCTTTATTTGATGTGACTGCAAGAAGAGGGAATACTGCATGTGGAATCACAGAAAAAAGCGCTGCCTCAGTCCGTCACCAGCCCAGCATTACCAGAAGTTCACCAACCATCACATCAAATCAGTCCTCCTGGCTACTTGACTGCATTTTTAAACATAAATAATATAGACCAAAACATGAACATCTCAGCAACCTTCCCCCCCACCCCCACAGAACAGAGGAGCCCTTTGACCTGTTGCGAAACGATCGCAGGACACCTTCACAAACTGTCTCTTTTTTTGTTTTATTTTCTTCTTTCCTCTCCTTTTTGTTGTTGTTGCTGGAATCAGCGCAGGGTCCAATTCCAAGCAGCTCCAGAAGATGTCAATCCAGTTCAATGGGACTGCTGTCTTCCTGCCCATCTTCAGCATCGTCCTCCTCGCCGGCCACCATCAGGCTGTTTAAAAGATTGCCTAGGATTGAAATACAGGACAAGCGGGAAGAAAGGAGTGAGCGAAGCAGCAATTTCCCCCAGGTCTGCCAAGACGGAGAGATGGACAATGCTCGCCAAAGGGCGGGGAGCTGGCCCCTGTTCCTGATTCACTGCCTCCTGTGAAGAGATGCCATACAGAGCTTGGTCAACTTCTTCTACAAAACTGGCATTTAGCTTTCTAAACACAGAGGAGCACCTGGGCTACTGCACTTGTGTGGCCTGCCAAAGGCAAGATAAATAATTCAGCTTACATCAAGGTTTTCATGCACACACACACACACACACACAGCTTAATCCAGGAACTGGTGAAAAAGTGCAGTTCTCCAGCTGGGGCAGCCACACTTAGCAGACCTACTTAGCAGGCACAGGCAATGGTTGAAGAAGGCTGGCAGCTCAAGTCCAGCAACATCTGGAGGGCCACATGTTTTACTCACCACTGCCCGCAACTGCATCAACCACTGCATGTCAAATGACAATCAAGTGGCCCTTTTTTCTTCCAAGGTAGGATTAACGTTCAACCCTTGTGCAGAACATACCTAGTAGTCCTCCATAGGATGATGTCTGTTTGGGTGGGACGCCAAAAAAGAGCTGTCCTATTCTGTCTAGATACTGAAAGAAAAGCATATGGAAAATGGCTCAGTTTTGCAACACAACAAACCCACTGTGGTTTCATATACAGACCACTAACCATAGCTTTAACTAGAGAACTAGTTCATTGATCAGCTGAAAACATGTTTGGCCAATAAATGAACCAGCATGAACTGTTGGTTCAGGCTCATCTCCAGTTTTAACCTATTACTTTTTTTCCCCTGCCCATCTTTAAGCACACTCGGATTCGCTATTCGTGGAGGCTTAGCGGCACCTAGAGGCAGACTGACAACCTCAACTGTTCATCTGATGCCTGAATTAAGCTATCAACAGCGAAATACTAAGCCCCTGCTAGCAAACAGAGTTTTGCCCAGGCTTCAGTGCTCATTCCTCCATCTTCCCTTTTGTACAATCCCTCTTTGGGCCCAGCAGTTATGGATGAAAGGTTGTATATTTTTAATTCAAATGTCAGCTCAGCCATGAACAATAGCCACTATTCTCTCAGCCTTGACACTCTGTCGCCATTATAGGGGCGATGCTGGCATACTTTACAGACGGGGCTAGCGGGAGTCACATGAAGCGCTTGGCAAACTCTACGGTGTTAAATAAATCAAAAGAATCCCCCACTTTCTGAATCTGAGAAGCTGTCTGTAACCTCGTTTCTGTAGCCTAACAAATATACAGCTCTTGCTGTGTTGCACCTCACGAGATAACAAAAGGATCGCTCTTTCCCACACTATGAACGAAGACAGATGGGTCATTTCCAAAGTTCCAAGGGACCCTCACAGCCATATTGATTTGGGACACTGTTGTACACAGTCCACACCTCAGCAGGTGATGATGATCTGAGCACGACAAAGTGGAAGACTCAAGGTTGAATTCCTTCAGATCATCTTCTCTACCCCCAGATGAGAACCCCAGGTTCAAGGTGTGTCCTGCCAGATGTGTAGGACCCATAACATGCTGGGACAGGCCCGTGGATGTAAAGGAACACATGAACCCTGCCCGTGAAGCAAAGGTCTGAGACATCTCAACAGTGCACCACAGACATAGCCATGGTAGGGAGAAGCATTGGGTTGCTGAGTAACTGGTACACCAAGACCGTTCCCATTCTGTCTCATGGGTCCAACAGGAGCCATCCAAGACGTTCACCTATGTCTCCCAGGCAGCAAAGTCTTTTTTTCCTCTTTAAGTGAAAAAGCCCCCGGCTGCTCTCTAGAAGCCACATGTACCACTTGTGCTATAGTTTCGGCTGCTTCTGGTCTGTTCTAAGCCTAGGAGATGGTGTTTTCAAGACAGGGAGTAAAACAGACTGAAGGTGGGGGGGGCATGGCTAAATTTCAAGCCATCCCACCCAGAAGGAATGAGAGAGGTCTTTAGGAGAGAAGGGGGGGAGAAAGGAGGCGTGGAGGTGCCAAAAGAGTGACACATGGCCCACAAGCTGTTTTTTGCCCAACAGCCCTCTAGGAGGAAATGCTCTGAGATGCACTTGGTCAGCATCCAGGTGAGGACCTTCTCAGGGGTGGGAGCACACAGGATGGAAGAACATCCCCTTGCATCTCCTGTTTCACCCCCTGCCTCCTCGTCTTCCGAGGGTTGGCTTAAACAGTTTTATTTGCACATGCTCTTTTCACGTGCTTTTAAAATCTTATTGGATTCCCCAGAGCTCTGTTTATGATGTCACTGGTTTTAGCCTATTCTAGCATGCTTACCAACTGAACTGTTTGCTTGAAATTCAGCTTCCATTGGATTGTTTCTCAACTATGAACCGCTCTGGGGACCCGTATAGGGGGTCAAAAAGCATAGCGGCAAATAAACAAGAAAGCAGCTATACAGAAAGAAAAACAAACTTCAACACATTTAAAAGTAACTGACCTCATTATACATGGGATCCCTCTTCAAAGAAGGCTGATATTGTTCACACAATACTGTAAATACTGTTAATTTCCCTCTAAAATAGAAGCAAAACAGAATGTAAAACCGGGCGAGAAGTGGAAAGACAGTGCTGAGCTTTGCGGCTAAAAGAAAACCATACCCGTCAACGGCCAGCAGCAGGAACCAGATAAAGTTGAGCAATGGCTGTACAAAGGGGGGCCCACTCTCGATGGAAGGGTGCTTCTGGGTATATGTTGTAAAAACCACCAGCGCGCTGGTTTTGTTTTTCAAACAGAGAAACCTGGAGAAACAAACAAAAACCTCAAAAGTTACAAAGTTGTTCTTCGAAACCAACACGACATAATTTCTAGGAAGGACAGGGTTTAATAAGCTTACTGTTATTGGCTGGAAGCTGGATGGCATCCTTAAGCCATGGCTACTCTCCCAATAACCCCTGGCATCCTTATTACTGACACCTCAGAATAAACCACAATGGCTGAGAAGGAAGGAATCTCATCTTGTGCTTTGGGTGCTCCAAGCCAGCCCTCCTGGCTCTCCAGACGGCCGTGTCTCCTTTTCCATTATTCTGTTCGGCGGCTTTCAATTTTCTGCTTTCCCTCCTCTCCTTTCTACAAAGCTGAAGCTTCTCTCTCAAGGCTTAGCTTTTGCTAGCAAGACCTGTAAGCTAAAATAAGTTGGCATTTTGGGGTTTTGCCCTTTTGTCTTTGACCCTGCCCGCTACTGGAATCTGTCTGAAACTAAATTTGGCCCTTGGGATCAAAGAGGACCCATATCCATAAGAGCATGAATTCGGGGAGGGCTGGTTCAAATCTTACTTTAATTACAGTCTCACCTCACAGCCTCCTTATTTTCTCAGCTTTGTTCCCTGCTCCCATAACTAAACTGCCCAGGCTCCCAAGGTGGCTTGAACATCGTAATCATGGTATAATTGGGCTCATGGCTGGCCTGCGGTTTAATGACTGTTCAGTTGGGGGGAAGCTGCAGCTCTGTGGATGCTGCTGGACTCCCAATTCCCATCTGCTCTGGCCAACCATCAGCAGGATGAGAGATGCAGCTCAGCACCACCCGGAGGGCTGCCAAATGCCCACCATGATCTAGGAAAACTTCCATCGAGACGAGACAGCTGTCCTTCTCATCTGTTCAGGTGAGCTCAACTCCCTGTCCAATCTTCTTCTCCAAGATCTTATTTATGTCGCTGAAACTGCTTGTTTTCCCTCAGAGATGGAAAACCTTTCCTTTTCAAGCTACTAGCCAGCTTTGGGGGTTCTGGATGCTACAGTCCAAGAAGACAACCTGGTGGTCTCTCAGCAGTTGAAGTTCAAAAACCAAACTGTTTCTCCCTTTGTACCACATTTCTTAAATTGCAAGCCATTCTTTTACAGTGTAGGATGCATTAGCAGAAAAATGGTATACAAAAGGCACTCTAATACAATTTCGACCTATGGATCTATTTTGTTTTAGAAGAGACAGCTGTGTTAGCCTGAGCAAGCATATCAGGCAAAGCACAAATGAAAAATTAAAAAATAAAAAATGGCAAAAATGTTGTGCGACCCCAAAGACTAACGGATATATGTAAGCTTTTGTGGATCTTCTATGGCCACTTCTTCAGGCATATGAGGTGAAATACAGAAATCACATAGTAAAACATTCCTGCTAGGGTCTAAGAGACATTGGTGTAGGGCTGCATTTCACACGTGCAACGATTTATGACCTGTGTTGGCAGTCAGTTCTTTTGAAGTTCAAGGCAATTCGGTCTATTCTGGTTCAACATCTTAAGGAAGTCTTGTTAAAGTCAACTGAGGGATAATAACAACAAACTAAAAAAACGGGGCCAAATTCAAATTCTTGTCACGATTAGGCAATTTGGTCTATTCTGGTTCAACATCTTAAGCAAGTCTTGTTAAAGTCAATTGAGGGATAATAACAACAAACAGGGGGCCAAATTCAAATTCTTGTCACGATTTGTTGGTCTCAAGTTTGTGTACCCTTCTGCTCCTCCTCCTGTTGCTCAACAAGGCAAGTTGCATAAAATACTCCACATGGCAAGAGATAAAAGTAGTTAAGAGCAAAACACGTACTGTAACACAGCCTGAGCTACGAACATGTCGACCTCACTGTGATATCCACGGGAGGAAGAATACTCCACCAACATGTTTGCACACCCTTCTCCATCTGTGGAGTGCAAAAAGTGGTACCGAGATTCACAATAGTTCTGTTCTAAAAAAAAGGTACAGAAAAAAGAAGAATCAGTTTTCTGTGTTACACTTCTTCCTCAAAAGTAGAACAATAAAAACCCTTTGTCAGCACTCACTGGATCACTGTTAGACGGCAGTGGGGGAGAGGATAGACGATGCACCTTGAGCAGATCTGAAGCTGAGAATATACGCTGGCTTGAATCCATCTAGGATGCCCTACTCTATCTAGTTAAACCTGTCTACTGGAGAGGGTTCATTTCATAAATAAGAGAGATAAGATTCCTAAAAAAACAAACTAAAACCCTACTGAGACACACCGACAAGTTTCTTATTTATGTCTGCTTTAAAAATAAAGCAGACACTGAACACACGCTAATCTAAGCTTCATAATCTCTACGAATGGGGGTTAAGTGGAACAACACTGTACCAGCCAAGACTTTTTATTCCATTCTGTGATAAGCTTCTCTAAGACTGAACAGAGTGAAACAGGACATTTGGAAGGGGCCGGCCAGGCTCCAATGTGCTATTTCAGGTTTGTTCGCTGGCTTTTATACATGGCCAATGTGACGTCTTAATTTCTTCTGCAACTGTGGTCTTGTCCTCTGAGTCAGGTCTAAAAACTGCTTTGGAAAACCCTCTAGTTTTCAGAAGCAGTTTTACGAATTGCATGGGAGCTGCTCCCTGAAAGCAACACTGCCCCACCAGTGGATGCACAGAACACTTTTTTCTGCTCGTGCCTGTGAGACTGGGGACTTCTGAAGAACGAGCATCTGATTCATGTACATCCATCGGTAGTCATGCCTACCTTTCCACAATGTGATGGCTAGCAACTGGTGCAATTTTGGATGTCCAAGTTTTCCGGATCCACCGCTGGACCACTTAAGTGCTCGGGACACAAAGGCTACTCTTTCCGGCGAATTTGGATCCATTAGGCTGAACAGTTTTGCCAGGTTCTCTAGAAGCAATCACAACAGGCAGTACTTAGCACAACTCTGTTTACCTTGTCATGCCATCCTTTTGTTCTGGTCATAAACAAACAGCACCAGAAAAAAATATATCTGAGGACACTTTCAACTTATTTTTTAAAAAGCTGAATTGCTTTACATTGAGTATGGGGGACATCTGGCCTCCGGTTGATGCTGGAACACAGCTCCCTTTAGCCCTAGTCAGTGTTGCCAATGGTGAGGGATGATGGGTGTTAGGTCTGACCACAAGGGGAGGGCCACATACTCCTTATCCCCCTGTTAGACAGAATCTAGCAAGAGCCACTACATTGACCTCTCTGCTGCCGTGCCACAAGCCACACATTTCCAGACAAGGAATGGAAGGAAGATGCCTTTTTCCAATGGCTTAACATTGATTTTAGAGAAGGACAGAAGAGATGGTCTTCACTCAGAAGACACTGCCAAAGATTAGCCCTAGCAGTTTCAAGTAAGAAGCATTCTGGGCAGGAAGCCAGACTGGCAAATGACAAAAACCCATTCGCTCTCAGCTGTCATTATGCTCACAAACCTTTGGGTCAAGCTGGAGAGCAAAAAGGTTCCTGAAACTCTTCAGATGGGCAGCTCACAAGGAACTGGCAAATGACAAAAACCATTCGCTCTCAGCCGTCATTCTGCTCACGAACCTTCAGGATCAGAGGTCAAGCTGGAGAGCAAAAAGGTTCCCGAAACTCTTCAGATGGGCAGCTCACAAGGAGAGCTTGATCAACGGTGGGGCTTACCGAATCAGATAGTCCAACAAGCAAAGGACAAAAAGGCCGACCCATGGGCAGTGAGCACCTCGCCAAGTGGGCTGGACGGAGAAGTGGCTGACCATCAAAACGGCAAAGAGGACAATTATTGTGCAGACATTACAAGGTTGTGCCTGTGTTGGGGAGAGGACAGTGCCAAAGATCACACGCCACCTCTAAACCACCATGTCTGTTCAGAACTGATGTTTGGGTCACTAACGAAGAGTTTAATTCTCCAGTACTCGTGAAAATTGCTTGGTACTTGATACTTTCAGTAACTTGGTAATAATAATGCTCAGCATTCAGAAGCAACCATTTCCAGATTATTAGGCAGGAAAGGAACGGCCACTACATCACAGACCTTGGGTGAGCTTTTAGCGGCACCTTGCTAAGAGCTGTTGGAAGCAAAAGAGCGATGTTGGCAGGATCTATCCAGACAGCAAATCCTCACAGTTCCAGCTGGCAGGGGGATTATGACACACACACACACGCCAAAGAATCAAAAGGGCAGGGGGGATTATGACACACACACACACACACACCAAAGAATCAAAAGGCATGACAATATTATTAAATACAAACTTTGTGTGCACATGATCAAGAAAAAGGGAGACAGATTGCTCACCTAATAATTCATCTATAACTTTCGCATCTGATTTCTCCAGCGACTCTAAAACAAGCATGGATAAATCAGCAGCACTGTTTTGCTAGGCAAGAAAGAAACAAAAACGGATGTAAAAAAAACAACACAAACATAAATGTTAAGGCTGGAAATGTATCAGATTTTACCCTGAAAACAGGGTAAAACAACAGGATCTTGTTAGTATGATATTTGAGCTACCTGAATGATTTTATCCACGCCTGCATGACTATGCTAGTAATGGCGGGTGTCTTTGCCTTAAGTGGTGATTATTTTAGGGTTTGGCTGTGTCCTGTCTAGACTTCTGCTACCGCTGCTGCACTGTCAAGGTGACAATGCATCACTTGGCACAACCTCTTTACTAGCTTTAAAAACCTCTTTATTGGCTAAGGAAAATGGGGGAGGCAGCACTTACTTATCTCCATAATAACTGACTGAGCTGATAAAAAAATGGGCTTTATTATCAATTTTTGGAACGGAATACGCAGCTTAAATGTTCATACTGAGATTCTTAGATGGGACACTAAGGGAACGATTATGTGCACTACAAATATGGCAAATAGAATTAGCCACTTCAGCATTTGCCTGGCATCAGTGCCTTGTGCCCAAGGTAAAGACATAAATAACATATCATTAGATGGCCTCTAAACTGCACAAATGACTATTGTAGTCCAACAAGTATCAGCACTCCACCTCCCAACTATCAGCCTTATTGCATCAGCTCCACAGAAATTAGTTTTTGAGCAGGTCTTACTTGATTGTGGCTGAAGAACAAGAGGGCCCCTGAGTACATTAGGTCTCTTGCTTCGCCATGTTTGCCTTGTGACATGTACCTGCGGATTAAAACACAGAAGGCGGAGTGAAAGGCAGCCGGAACACAGCATGAAGAGATAACACCTCATCTGAAGCCAGATCCTTAACTTATAGTTAATCGAAAATTTTTTTGCCTTGAAGATTTGTATTAGGGCAGGTTCCAGGAATGTAGCCATGCCAGTGAAAAACAAAAGAGAAAAAGAGCTGTAAGGAGACCCTATTCTCTCCACTTACTGCTGTCATGGATGGTCACTGTACTTGCCTCATGCACATCGAAGCTTTGTACAGCAATGTCACAGATGGTGCAGGTCTTGCATTACGCAATCTTCTCATGCCACTCTTTACCACTTGGCCTCACCCACATATCCATCAGTTTGACAAGGTAGGCTCTTGCATGCACAAGCATGCATGTCTCTGAGGGGGATACAGCTGTTCATGTTTATTGTACCACCACCCAAGCCTTCAGCACCTTTGCTGTAATAGCCCAAAGCAAGCATTTCAATGTTTGCTTATCTTATATTTTATTCTATTTTTAAAAATTTTTAACCCCTCTTTTCTCTTAAAAAAAAAAGAAAGACCCAAGGCAGCTCACAGACAATATTAAAGCTGAAAACAGTGCTTTGTAGTAAGCACTGATGAATGTGCACTGCTATACCTTTTGGCCCATTGTTCCCATGACCTGAACATATACCGGAAGGTCTGCTCATTCATCACTAAGACCAGTGTTGCCTAATCTGGCTAGTAGCACCTGTACAGGTACAAAGGCTTTAGCCATCAGTTGCTACTCCACCCTTTTCACTGGAAATTCCAGGGGCTGAAACAGCATCCTCCAAACAAAGAACTAAGCTCTGCCTCTTACCCAAAGGGACAAATCATACCAATACACACACCTTTGCTGTAAGACTAGCAACTATTTCCCCTCAATATTTCCCTGATCCAACTACCTCAATTAATAACATTCAGCCTTGTTATAAAGCCTGAAGTGAATATTCTGGCATTTAATCCTATGCTTTCCCTTTCCTGTTTCCCCATTAGCTAATTTAGACTGTAACTCCACTGGAGGCAGACAACTGCCTACATGGCCTCTGTAACTTTAATGTATGATATGCAGAGAAAGGAAAGCATAAATAAATCATACATTTACATGACACAAATTTCCCTGAAAGCTTGCCATGTCATATCGTTGGAGCAAAAACATCTAACTTTTTGTGGCACCCTTCTGATTAAAATACCATTGTGGGTCATGTTTCACTACCACACTGCCCTTAACTTTTGCTGTCACTGATTTAACACTAGAAAAATCGCAAGAAAGGTACAAAGGGCAGCAGCCTTGTGTTGTTTTGCTGTTCTTGAGCATGGAAGTTCAGTTTAGCCATCAGGACTGGTATCCGCTGACAAACCTACAGCTTCCACAAACCTATCTGACCCCTTCTGCTCTCCAAAAGCTTCTGCCAGTGATAAACAAAGCAGCCCTTCAGGAGCCTCGAGACGGTTCATCTAAGGCTGATAAAAGACAGCACATATGTGTGTGTCTATATCTGGCTGAAACAGTGGCTTCAGCAACTGCATGAACACCAGTTTTGGGAGACACGTATTTCTCGCTGTTTTGACTTAGATACCGCTCCATCTTGTACAGCAGAGGTTCCCAACCTTGGGCAACCCAGGTGTTCTTGCACTAAAACACCCAGAAGCCTTTATCCCTAGTTGTGTTGGCCAGGATTTCTGGCAGTGGTGGTCCAAGAACCATCCGCAGGCAGAAAGCAGCTCGCCGTCTAGAGCAGTGAGTAGTTCCCACTGTTGGGTCACCCAGGTGCTCTTGGACCACAACTCCTAGAAATCCTGGCCAGAAGGGCTGGCAGGGAAGGCTTCTGGGAGTTGTAGTCCAAGAACATCTGGAGGCCCAAGGTTGGGGACCACTGCTCTCTAGAGCAGTGG